TCTGCTGAAACTGACCAGCAGCGGCTGAATCAGGGATGCCTGGGGCAGAGCCGGACTATTGTAAGAGGGGGCTATGAGGGGTCTGGGGTGGCATCCCCTCCCACCCCACTCCAGACCCCTCATAGCCCCCCCCTTCCGATAGTCCAGCATATCTGATAGTCCGGCACCCCCTGGGTCCTAAAGGTGCCGGATTATCGGAAGTTTACTGTACTTGCTGACTGCACACAGCACTGACTGAGAGAGCCTCTGCATCACAGTTACCAACCCTACCCTTGCCCGGGAGACCGGCTTGCTTTCAACAGTCTTGTGGCCCACAGCGATGGAGGCCCATTGCTGGTCTAACTAGGTAGTGGTTAACGACAAGGCTGTGTCTCCACAACTGTGTCACTCAAAACCGGGCAACGTGGCCAGTTTGTTGGCTCTTTTGTACAGAAAATGTACTGGTTGTCACCAGCAAAACTATTGTCTCTCTCAGTGGAGGAGGGGAGGTGTCATTTTAACACCTCCAAAAGACAAGTTTTGTTTAGTTGTGAGTACAGACAGCCGAAAGCCTGGTCGACACTAGAAAATTAGGTTAGTAGAACTTCCTGGCTCAGAGGTGTGAAAAATACTGCCTCCCTACCCCCTATGCTAGCTACTGCATCTGGGGAAAGTGGAGTATCTATGCCAATAGAACCACCCCTCCCATTGGCACAGCTACAGATGCAGACAAGCCCTACGGCCTGGTTTGGTACAGAGCATCTGGATACACAGGAGGGATATAAAACCATTCACATCCCTAATACAGCAGATCCCAAGCGCCGGTCTGCAAACTGCTGGCTGCCAGGACATCACGGCTCTGGGGCCAGAGCTCGGATCACTGCCCAGCGCCTCCCCACCAGCAGCGGCTGTTGGGAGAGGCGTGTCCTGCCTCACCTCTCAGCCAACCGGCTCCAGGGGGGGAGGGCTGCACAGAACCCAGCACGGCAGCTTTAGAGCAACCGTGATCCGGGCAGCAGTGCTCAGCTGGCGTCTGGGAGGCAGCACAGGGCTAGGTGAGGGAGCCGGGGCACGCGCTGGGGGCTCTGGGCGTAGAGCTAGTGCTGGGGGACTCTGGGAGTGGAGGCTCTAAGAGGCAGGAAGTTAACCGGCTCCAGGGGGGGAGGGCTGCACAGAACCCAGCACGGCAGCTTTAGAGCAACCGTGATCCGGGCAGCAGTGCTCAGCTGGCGTCTGGGAGGCAGCACAGGGCTAGGTGAGGGAGCCGGGGCACGCGCTGGGGGCTCTGGGCGTAGAGCTAGTGCTGGGGGACTCTGGGAGTGGAGGCTCTAAGAGGCAGGAAGTTAAC